TTTACGTCGACATTTTACGATAAAGTTTCAAAATGAAGTTTTACGATAAAGTTTCAAAATGAAGTTTTACGTTGATTTGATGATAAAGTTTTACGTCGATGTTTGATGATAAAGTTTCACAAAACATTTTACGTTGATGTTTTACGTTGATGTTTTACAAAACATTTTACGTCGACATTTTACGATAAAGTTTCACAAAACATTTTACGATAAAGTTTCAAAATGAAGATGTTTGATGATAAAGTTTTACGTTGATGTTTGATGATGATGTTTCAAAATGAAGTTTGATGATAAAGTTTTACGTCGACATTTCACGATAAAGTTTGACGTTGATGTTTGATGATAAAGTTTCAAAATAAAGTTTTACGATAAAGTTTCAAAATGAAGTTTGACGATGAAGTTTGATGATAAAGTTTCAAAATGAAGTTTGATGATAAAGTTTCACGATAAAGTTTGACGTTGATGTTTGATGATAAAGTTTTACGTCGATGTTTGATGATAAAGTTTCACAAAACATTTTACGTTGATGTTTTACGTTGATGTTTTACAAAACATTTTACGTCGACATTTTACGATAAAGTTTGATGATAAAGTTTCACGATAAAGTTTCAAAATGAAGTTTCACGATAAAGTTTGATGATAAAGTTTGACGTTGATGTTTGATGATAAAGTTTCAAAATGAAGTTTGATGATAAAGTTTCACAAAACATTTTACGATAAAGTTTGACGTTGATGTTTGGTGATAAAGTTTCACGATAAAGTTTCAAAATGAAGTTTGATGATAAAGTTTCACAAAACATTTTACGTCGACATTTTACGATAAAGTTTCAAAATGAAGTTTTACGATAAAGTTTCAAAATGAAGTTTGATGATAAAGTTTCACAAAACATTTTACGATAAAGTTTGACGTTGATGTTTGGTGATAAAGTTTCACGATAAAGTTTCAAAATGAAGTTTGATGATAAAGTTTCACAAAACATTTTACGTCGACATTTTACGATAAAGTTTCAAAATGAAGTTTGATGATAAAGTTTCACGATAAAGTTTGACGTTGATGTTTGATGATGATGTTTCAAAATGAAGTTTGATGATAAAGTTTTACGTCGACATTTTACGATAAAGTTTCACAAAACATTTTACGTCGACATTTTACGATAAAGTTTCAAAATGAAGTTTTACGATAAAGTTTCAAAATGAAGTTTGACGATAAAGTTTCAAAATGAAGTTTGACGATAAAGTTTCAAAATGAAGTTTTACGATAAAGTTTCAAAATGAAGTTTTACGATAAAGTTTCAAAATGAAGTTTGACGATAAAGTTTCAAAATGAAGTTTGACGATAAAGTTTCAAAATGAAGTTTTACGATAAAGTTTCAAAATGAAGTTTGACGATAAAGTTTCAAAATGAAGTTTGACGATAAAGTTTCAAAATGAAGTTTTACGATAAAGTTTCAAAATAAAGTTTGATGATAAAGTTTGACGATAAAGTTTCAAAATGAAGTTTTACGATAAAGTTTCAAAATAAAGTTTTACGATAAAGTTTGATGATAAAGTTTCAAAATGAAGTTTGATGATAAAGTTTCACGTCGACATTTTACGTTGAAGTTTGACGTTGATGTTTGACGTTGATGTTTGATGATAAAGTTTGATGATAAAGTTTCAAAATGAAGATGTTTGATGATAAAGTTTGATGATAAAGTTTGATGATAAAGTTTGATGATAAAGTTTCAAAATGAAGATGTTTGATGATAAAGTTTGACGTTGATGTTTGATGATAAAGTTTTACGTCGACATTTTACGATAAAGTTTCAAAATGAAGTTTTACGATAAAGTTTCAAAATGAAGTTTTACGTTGATGTTTGATGATAAAGTTTTACGTCGATGTTTGATGATAAAGTTTCACAAAACATTTTACGTTGATGTTTTACGTTGATGTTTTACAAAACATTTTACGTCGACATTTTACGATAAAGTTTCACAAAACATTTTACGATAAAGTTTCAAAATGAAGATGTTTGATGATAAAGTTTTACGTTGATGTTTGATGATGATGTTTCAAAATGAAGTTTGATGATAAAGTTTTACGTCGACATTTCACGATAAAGTTTGACGTTGATGTTTGATGATAAAGTTTCAAAATAAAGTTTTACGATAAAGTTTCAAAATGAAGTTTGACGATGAAGTTTGATGATAAAGTTTCAAAATGAAGTTTGATGATAAAGTTTCACGATAAAGTTTGACGTTGATGTTTGATGATAAAGTTTTACGTCGATGTTTGATGATAAAGTTTCACAAAACATTTTACGTTGATGTTTTACGTTGATGTTTTACAAAACATTTTACGTCGACATTTTACGATAAAGTTTGATGATAAAGTTTCACGATAAAGTTTCAAAATGAAGTTTCACGATAAAGTTTGATGATAAAGTTTGACGTTGATGTTTGATGATAAAGTTTCAAAATGAAGTTTGATGATAAAGTTTCACAAAACATTTTACGATAAAGTTTGACGTTGATGTTTGGTGATAAAGTTTCACGATAAAGTTTCAAAATGAAGTTTGATGATAAAGTTTCACAAAACATTTTACGTCGACATTTTACGATAAAGTTTCAAAATGAAGTTTGATGATAAAGTTTCACGATAAAGTTTGACGTTGATGTTTGATGATGATGTTTCAAAATGAAGTTTGATGATAAAGTTTTACGTCGACATTTTACGATAAAGTTTCACAAAACATTTTACGTCGACATTTTACGATAAAGTTTCAAAATGAAGTTTTACGATAAAGTTTCAAAATGAAGTTTGACGATAAAGTTTCAAAATGAAGTTTGACGATAAAGTTTCAAAATGAAGTTTTACGATAAAGTTTCAAAATAAAGTTTGATGATAAAGTTTGACGATAAAGTTTCAAAATGAAGTTTTACGATAAAGTTTCAAAATAAAGTTTTACGATAAAGTTTGATGATAAAGTTTCAAAATGAAGTTTGATGATAAAGTTTCACGTCGACATTTTACGTTGAAGTTTGACGTTGATGTTTGACGTTGATGTTTGATGATAAAGTTTGATGATAAAGTTTCAAAATGAAGATGTTTGATGATAAAGTTTGATGATAAAGTTTGATGATAAAGTTTGATGATAAAGTTTCAAAATGAAGATGTTTGATGATAAAGTTTGACGTTGATGTTTGATGATAAAGTTTTACGTCGACATTTTACGATAAAGTTTCAAAATGAAGTTTTACGATAAAGTTTCAAAATGAAGTTTTACGTTGATGTTTGATGATAAAGTTTTACGTCGATGTTTGATGATAAAGTTTCACAAAACATTTTACGTTGATGTTTTACGTTGATGTTTTACAAAACATTTTACGTCGACATTTTACGATAAAGTTTGATGATAAAGTTTCACGATAAAGTTTCAAAATGAAGTTTCACGATAAAGTTTGATGATAAAGTTTGACGTTGATGTTTGATGATAAAGTTTCAAAATGAAATTTGATAAAGTTTCAAAATGAAATTTGATAAAGTTTCAAAATGAAGTTTCACGATAAAGTTTGATGATAAAGTTTGATGATAAAGTTTCAAAATGAAGTTTGATGATAAAGTTTCAAAATGAAGTTTGATGATAAAGTTTCAAAATGAAGTTTGATGATAAAGTTTGACGTTGATGTTTGATGATAAAGTTTCACAAAACATTTTACGTCGACATTTTACGATAAAGTTTCAAAATGAAGTTTGATGATAAAGTTTCAAAATGAAGTTTGATGATAAAGTTTCAAAATGAAGTTTGATGATAAAGTTTCAAAATGATGTTTGATGATAAAGTTTCAAAATAAAGTTTGACGATAAAGTTTCACGTTGATGTTTGACGTTGGTGTTTGATGATAAAGTTTCACAAAACATTTTACGATAAAGTTTGACGTTGATGTTTGATGATAAAGTTTGACGATAAAGTTTCACAAAACATTTTACGTCGACATTTTACGATAAAGTTTCAAAATGAAGTTTTACGATAAAGTTTCAAAATGAAGTTTTACGTTGATGTTTGATGATAAAGTTTCAAAATGAAGTTTGACGTTGATGTTTGATGATAAAGTTTCAAAATAAAGTTTCACGTTGATGTTTTACGATAAAGTTTCAAAATGAAGTTTGATGATAAAGTTTTACGATAAAGTTTCACAAAACATTTTACGTCGACATTTTACGATAAAGTTTGATGATAAAGTTTGACGTTGAAGTTTGATGATAAAGTTTCACGTTGATGTTTGATGATGTTTGATGATAAAGTTTGATGATAAAGTTTCACAAAACATTTTACGTCGACATTTTACGATAAAGTTTGACGTTGATGTTTGATGATAAAGTTTGATGATAAAGTTTCACAAAACATTTTACGTCGACATTTCACGATAAAGTTTGATGATAAAGTTTCACGTTGAAGTTTGATGATAAAGTTTCACGTTGAAGTTTGATGATAAAGTTTCACTTTGAAGTTTGATGATAAAGTTTCACGTTGAAGTTTGATGATGATGTTTCAAAATGATGTTTTACGATAAAGTTTGATGATAAAGTTTCAAAATGATGTTTGATGATAAAGTTTGATGAAGATGTTTCAAAATAAAGTTTTACGATAAAGTTTTACAAAACATTTTACGTTGATGTTTGATGATAAAGTTTGACGTTGATGTTTCACGATAAAGTTTCAAAATGAAGATGTTTCATGTCGACATTTTACGTTGATGTTTCAAAATGAAGATGTTTCATAATGAACTCATGTTGACATTTTACGATAATGATGTTTCATGATAAAGTTTTACGATAATGAACTCATGTCGATATTCCCGCCAAATACAAAAAAATGAAAGAGGTGACAGTAATCATGAGCTTTATGGGCTCTTTATTGACGTTGTGATTACCAGTGCAACTAGTTTTTTTGGCGGGTGTATCTTTCACCCCTATCAAGGCCATTTTACCGTTAACGAATAGCACGGTAACACACTATTCACTCGTGGGAGATGGAAATCTCATACCCAACCACTTCATACTCATTATAATCTTCTCCCGTAAAGTACGGAACAGACCAGTATGATTCGCACACGTAAACATTTAAGTCTTGGGTTTTGCCCCTAAACTTAAATGCTACATGGTATTCTACACCTTCTTCGTCGGGAAGAATTGGTGGTATGCCGAGGATTGCAAGTATTTTGAGAAAATCATCTCGTGAGAATACAGAATATGTATTCTCTTTGGACATCGCTTTTACGATAAACTCCATTTTAAGATAAATAGAAAAGAAATTTCATTTTTCAGTCGATAACGAGAGTGATAACTATTGTTTTTACATTTTATTTTTTCAGTTGAGGATGAAGTGCAAATCTTCAATTCGTCAAAAACTAGAATCGTGAAAGGTCATGAAATGGTAAGTCAACACAACATTCCCGCCAAATACAAAAAAATGAAAGAAGAAAAGGGGTGGTCCCCACCACCCATAAAAGCGATGTCAATCTAGTTCAACGGAGGAAATTCGGATAATGATAACTTCTATCGTTTGTGATCAATTTCCACAGTTCTAACTTTGTCACGGAATGACTTGTCTCGAACACTGATTATATTTTCATAATTACATAATTGAATTATGGCATATAGGAAAAGTGGTACTAGACATCTCTGATCCGATAGGTATATACGTAGGTAGACGTCTCTAGCGATGTCTAGTAGTTCCGTACATGCAGAAACACCTTTGTATTCTGCTAAACCATTGCACCCTGCAAATACGCGATTGGCGGCAGTCTTTCCTGCAAGATTGATCATGTTATATGTAACAGGATATATACCATAAGGAATGGAATGCATTTGATCGATCAAGTTATTAATACGCTTAGTAAACCTGTCCTCGTAGAATTTTTTGTTTATTTCGCAATGTGAAAAGAAATCTTCCTCATATACGGGGAAAGATTCATCGTCCGCCTTCTCTGTATAGAAACAGATTTTAGCGAACATTTTCATTGCTGTGACCGAGTCCGGATGGGCCAATGCGAATTCATTCATCGCCTTTGCGAGTTCCTCAGAGCTTCTGAGGACTTGATTGATGATAATGTCGAGATCATGTTGGGACATTATTGGTCTGCTTGGGTTGGAGATATAGACAGACATTTTTTTAGTAAATGGGTGAGAAATTTCATTTTTCAGTTGAGGATGATTGTTTTTGCGTCATATTTTTTCAGTTGAGGACGAAGTGCAAATCTTCACTTCGTCAAAAAACTAGAATCGTGAAATCAGGGATTAATTCCAATTAAATGAGGTGTCGACAATAGTGTTATACATCTCTTCCTTTCGTATTTTTTGTCTAATTATTAATTTTAAATTATATTAAATTTTTGCATGCTACGCGTTGGATCAAGTAATTACAAAATGCAAAAATGACAATAAATCGGTCGATATTTCAACTGTTAATACTATGTGTGATAAAATACTCGATCAAATAAAAGCCATCCTTGATGGGGATAACTCTGAAAAAAATAAAACATTTTTGACACGATTTCTAACAGTTGATAATTTCGAGTTGTTCTCGAAAGTTGTGAAAAATGCGTCAAACAAAGTTTTAAATAACCAATATGCCGACGCGGATAAATATTATTTCGACAATGCTAATTCCAAAATTAAACAGATAAATGGTTTAACAGATAAAACGCCTATTAGAACAACAATAGGAAATGAGTTTTTAGATATATTCTATCAAGTCATAGATGTCAAAGTTCCACCTACGGAAATTGATATGGGTAAAAATCAATTATTCGATTATACCCGTCATCAGCGGTATACCGTTTTACAGGATCTAAATAAGTTTTTAGATCATAGCGTAGATTTTACGAAGAAATTCGTATACAGCCAAAAAAAATAAAAAGCGCTCTCATCCCGAAAACCGTAGAAACAGTTAATTTACATAAAGCTATTAAAGATCTATTATTGACGTCCGATAACGCAGTAACTAGTATTCTGAAAATATATTCACACATTTTAAATCATTTTAATGCGTTGGGGGAGGAAAACACTACAGTCTCAATTATTGGAATTAAATTTTCAGGCTCTAGTTATAAATACATTTTAAAAATAATTTTCAATGTAATTGTATCAATGGTAATGACTGAAATAGATTTGTCAACAACAAAAACATCATTTATTCGTGAATGTTGTTATGGAATTTTACATTCGTATGGTATATTGAATACAACATCAGTGCAGGGTCAATTCGACACAACTCTTTTACGTAAAATGCATTCAATAGCACCTGATGACTGTATCATAACATATATTTATAACACATCTTTTAACACATTTGTCGGAAGAAATGCAATTACAATGTGTCAATATATTACTATGTATGATATAATAGCCTTTCAATATAAATATAATATGATGTATGATCAAGAAATATCAATAGCATTTTCTTTACCAATTGTATTATATAATACAATATTTTGTGACAATAAATATGAATTAGCCGATTTTGATTTAGTGACTGATGAAAAGATCAAGAAAAACTACAATGAATATAACAAAAAACTCGAGAAATTTAGAGCGGATATGAAAAGATATATGATTACTAAAGAAAAGGAAGATGCAAAAAAATTTGTTAAAATGTACCACGTGAATTATGGATGGCTACCAGGGTTTGATAATTCACCGAGTGAGTATCTCAGACGTATAACCGAAAACAAGAGAACTTCAATTCAAAAGTCATGGATGGAATTTAGGCGTAAAATGAAGTATGTAAGATATTATACATATGATCCCAAGAAACCAGTGTATCCGGAGAAGTCTAATTTATTTACAAGAAGATCGAATAAATGTGATCTCGCGATTCCAGAAAAAACTTTCAAGAAATTGGAAAGTATCATCGAAAACACAAATATTTACACGTACAGTAAAAATAAAATCAGTTCACATATTAAATCCAATATGTTTGAGAAAACAATAAAAATAGATATTGATGGTCTTATTTTAACTTTGTATGAATTTAATTTAAGTGAAAATATTTATTATATTTCCCTTCCGGAAAAACAATCTTGGGAATATAGATGCGTGAAATCAGTATTTAATCATAGAATGATATTTGATGAACGGAAGAAAAAAAGAGAAAATGTACGTAATTTAAATCCTGTGACGGAAGTTGCAAAGGAAATGTTAGATAATATGATAACAACAGGTAAAGATATATTAGGCGTGCAATATGATGTCAGACTAAATAATGACCATGAGGAAACTAGGAAAAAAGTTGCACGAAAGAAAATGAAAGAGTTAACCAAAGCAATCACAAATTTGTTAAGAAATACGGAATCTACCGTTTTAACAAATTTCAAGCGATATATATGCGAGGAAGACGTGTCATACTTAAGAAAGGGATATACAATGTTGAATATCGAAGAAGTTCTCATTAATGACGCATTATTCGTAACCAACGAAAGAAATAACGATGATGATAGTGTTGATATCGTGATGTACATTCAAAAGGGCAAAGAAGGAAAAAGAGGCGAAGCCAGAAAGGTTATAAATGAACAAGACGCAATTGCTGAAACTCTTGATAATTACGATAGAATTGTGGTGAAAATATTTAATGACAGTAATGGAAAACTACCTGATAGCGTAACGGCAGAATTGATGGAAAAACTTAGCATTGTTGAATTATATTCCATAACTCAAATACTTTTACTATTAAATCCTTTTATAAACATTTGCTATTCAGATTCTCAAAATGAAGCAAGTGATGATTATGTATTGCCGGAATCTCCAAAAGCACCTAATGTTGAACCCGATGAAGATAATGAATTTAAGCCAGTATTTGAGAGATTATCAATACCTAAAATGTATGTAAATTTAATGAGTGAATTAGGACAAAAGCTTGCAGCTCGAATGAAATCATTTTTACAAATCAACTTAATTAATAAAAAGAACAAAGGAAGCACTGAGCTACTAAATACATTAAATGATATAGTTGATAAATTAACTTCCATATATACTACTTCAAGTACTACATCATCTGATGAAATGAAAGATATTATACGTAAAATGGTATATTTGGTATTTTCAATTACAAAAAGATGTGCTGCCAATAATTACGAATCAATCTTGGTGACTTTATCTGAATATTATGATCGTGGGACCATAAATAAAATAAAAGATTATATTAGAAATGATCAAAATACAGATGTCGATAAGGTTTTAACAATGATATTGTTCTTAATTGTAAATACCTCGGATCCCAAAGAAATTATTCACACTGCTTTAGATCATAATAATGCATTCGATGAATTTGTGAACGCTAACCATGATTTAATATTAAAATCAGAATTTTTGTACATATCCTACGCAGTCAATGATGAATTTAAATTAAATAACGGAATAGATTTAAGAAATGTTGATGAAGAATTAAACGCTAGATATAATAATGATGTGATTAAAAATATATCCGATAATTTTGGAAATGACGGAAAAATCAATGGTGAATATGTTCCAAGAGTTTTAACGTTTAACGAATCCGTAACTACTAACAGCCAACAACAGAAAGAAAAGGAACAATTTGCAATGCTTAATGAATATAATTTAGTTAGGAATATCCCCGTTGGTAATGGTTTGTGTCAAAAAAGTAGTCCATTTGTTATAGGCAGATTTATCTTTGACATTGAAGACATACCTCGTGATGCTAATCATAGTTGGGAAGATAGTAGAAATTATATGATACAATTAATTTCAGTTCTGTCATTCTATAATTATCCTTTTTCCGATAATGATTCTATTTCCAATAGATGTTTATTCGCCGAGAAATTATCTAAAGGATTTGTTTTAACGAATAATACGGCATCATTGCATGGTTTGAGTTATCATTGTTACTTGCCAGCAATTTGTCAATATTCTGTATTTAAGGAATTTCTCTCATTACGATTCATAAATCACCTGAGAGGAGATCCCGCGATTGAGGAAGATGAAGAGATTAATAAAAAATTTAATTATACAGGCGGATTATTACCGGACGAAAACGTATTTAAATTCCTCGATCCATTGATTTATATGGATAATCTAATTAATATGAGATTAATGTACTACGGAAAGGGATCTATGATTTTCGATAAAAGAATAGTATCTAAGTATGCCGTTAATAGACAAACATATGTTAGTGCAGCAGATTTACATTATGTTGCATGTGAAGATCAAACTAAGAAAATTTTATCAAAGTTACATGATTTTGTATACTGTGATACGGAGCGTGGAAAAATAGGGTTGGGTAATTCGATGACAGATGAATTATACAATGATTTGGTTGGTAATACCGCTGGTCGTCAAAACCGTATGAAAACTTTTGATGAAGTCATTAATTTATTTGGAGAAATTGTTTTATTACACTTAAGAGATGAAACAAGCGATAACATTCAGAATATTATTAATCAAATTAAATCGTTGATCCAGAGAGAAGTATCCAGTAAAAGGTTATATGACAAAGCAAATCTTGTGAAGAAAAGTACCACCAGATTATTGTATAATTTGATTTATAATTATGTATCTGATGCATGTAAAACGGATTATGTCGATGAACCGAGGTTGTTAGTTTCGTATGCTGGAAACAATTACCATTCATTTTATAAAGTCGGAAATGATTTAACAAATATGATGAAATCGAATGGTGACTTTTATGACAAAGTAAGGAGAGCAGTAGGTCAAACATTGATAAATAACAGAAATGACGTAGATAGAGTACAACTTCCTGTGTGGTGTGGTAGTATTTCTCCGAATGATCAAAGTAGTATAATACTAGATGACAACAATATTAATAAATCAAAGACATATTTTAACGACGAGGAAATTGTAGAACCGTTGAAGAGCGCCCTCATAGATGGAATAGTAGACAAAACGATTTCTGATTCGGAGTTGTTGAAATCATTAGAAAAACATGTTGAAAAGGTGTTACCAATAATCGAAAGAAATGTAGACGCAGCATTCGATAGACAATGAAAAATGGATTTTTCCTTTACTACCCAGATTTTCCTTACTTTTACCACTCCCCATGTAATTTCTGGGGAAAACGATAATTCATTTTTTTTATGGATGAATAGATCGTTTTCCTAGAAAGGACCTCATATCTCTGGCTAAAAAGAGTGCCAGATCCTAAATAGATTATTGATCTAGTGTACAAATCCAATAAAAAGCCTATTTTTTTGGCTTTTTTGGTGCTCATTTTTTCGAAGATCTACATGAATATGGGGAAACCATCGGATTTTTTTGGTTAACCCACATCTTCATGTAGTCTGGACTATCTTTCCTCGAAGGACCTCTTTACGGGTGTAAAAACTCATAAAGTTCTCAAAAGATTCATTCTCGATCTCCATGCTGAAAGAATTTACAATAAAAAAGAGATCTACGCATCAAACTACAGCCATAAATGAACTGAACCCCTAAAGCTCAGCTCTTAGTTTATCAAAAACGTCGAAATCCTTCTCATTGCAATCAAATTTTCTCAATAACTCATAAGAAAAATCGAATTTTGATTAAGCCGATGTTATAGGTATCACAAATACTACAAACTTGAGCAATATCGAAATTGCCAGCAAAAGTTTGAAATTGCATTGCTCATATTTGTTTTGTAAACTAAAAATCTGCTTATATTATTCATTAATTTTTTATATATTATTCATATACTTTAATAAAAACAATACTATTTCACCTTAAAAATGAATTTCATAAGTCAATATTATTTTTTTGAAAATGTATCAATTTTCGATTAAAACAACATGAGAATAAAATTTACGCAAAATTATTTTAAAAAATGGTTTTAAAAATTTACAATTGATGAAGAGTAAGATTGCAAGAAGTTTTGAAATTTAATTTTAAGAAAAAAAATTCGGATATTATTCATGGATCTAAGTAATCTGATATTTGAGTATCGGCACTATGCATAAAACATATATTTATAGTTTTTTTGGAGTTTTATGATTTTAAATATATTCAAATTTGGCAATCCAATAGATTTTTAAAAAATAGGTAAATAAAAATAGATTACATATGCAGCAGATTTAGAACATGAAACAAATCTTATAGTGACCCAAAAAAAATTCATGATCCAAAAAGAAAAAAATTGGCTAAATGGGAATCTAACTTTGGCATAATGAATCATTATGTCGGATGTTTCCACTACGCTACACAGGCGGTTCGAAAAATACCCTTGGTGGTTCTATTTAATAGCTAGTCCCAACGATAGGCGGTGTCCCCAGCTTTAGAGAGGTGGTAAAAGTAAGGCAAATCTGGGTATATAAATGTCAGTTGTAGTTTTAGTTAATAACGTAGAAAACGCTGGAATCAAAGGAAAAATCAAGTTTTTCAAAGAGTTCTTGGCAAATTATTATAATATATCCATCAGTGGGGAAGATGACGAAGATTTGAAGTATAAATCAATATATTATTTTAATTTATTCATCAATACTGGTGCGTTCCACAACGTCTCCGGTGAAATGAAAAATAAAATGCTGTCATTCACACTTTAAACATTTTATTTTTATTATATATGTAAACTACTACATATATAATAGCAACGACGATCGATATTATAAACATTGTATACATTATGATTTTTAATATGTTTGTAAATGTATTTTCACATACACCATTCCGCTCATCCGGACTGAAATTAGATTGATACATCAGTGTTTTTCTGAAATCACAGCAACATATATAAACATAAAATAATAAATCATAATCTCCAAACGTGCCCTTACCCATTTTGTAAAGAAGTAGTGATGGTATCGATGACTTCATACATGCCTTTACAAATACTTTCTTTAAAATTTTATCATTTTTGAACTCATTATACATCATATCAACACTAACATCATCGTTTTTGAACAATACTGGTATTATAAATTTAATAGTTCTACCATTCACGAAGTCTGTAATTTTTTGCATCAAAGAAGTATCTAATCCACACCCATCCGCCAACTTTGAGTAACATATTTGATATAATTTATCTTCCATTTTATTATCACTAAATTTTTGTTATATAAAATTTTATATTAATAGTTCGGATGTGATTATGTTGATCTTCAAAAATAATTTTATACATTATAATAATTTCAAAACTTCATTAAATGTTAATATTTTGGGGTAGTACGATATCATGACATCAAAACACTTTCCGAACCTCTTTAGAAAGTTCTTAGATCCTATCACCGAATAATTTCCATTGTCATATACATATTGAAGAATTTCATCTTTGATCTTATCTATGCTAGTAGTATATGTATATGTCTCAATCATTATTGACTTTGATTCATCGAGGAGTTTTAAATAAATCATACCGCTAATAATTTCATCATACATATTTTTGTAGTCGGAGGTAAAATGAGTTAATGATTTATTAATGTGATCATCACCATTGATACCCAATATAAACAATGTGTTGAACAATGAGCATTGCTGTTGAAATGCATCGAAATATTTTTTGATGACATCAGATATCATTTGTTTATTCACATCGCTATTTTCAGTAAATAAATTATTTAACAATGTTTTTAGTTCGTCAAAACTATGTTTGGTAAATCCTAGTAAACATTTATTCTTGTTAATGTTGTGTAAAAGTTTCATAGCTTCACTATCTCTTTCCATCACATTATCCAAATTCTGAGCAAATATATTTTGGTGGTATTTAATTTTTTCCGTAAATGTGTTAGAAAACTTATCAAACTGATATTTAACCCATCGATATGGATTCATTTCGAAAGATGTGATGCATTTCTCATCATTGTCGACATCATCATTGTCGACAGCGTTTTGAGAATTGATCCACTCGAAATATAATGGATTTGTTTGTTCGTTTTCATCCAAAGTATTACCAGTTTGCCAGTCAAATCCATTATGGCAATTCGTGCAAAACATATGATTGCATCCCGAAATCTTAAAGATGGGAACTCCACAACATGGACACTTATGACACTCTTGTGTAATTAATTTAATTGTTTTGATTACGTTCGGATCACATGTGTGCTCGTCTCCTTCGATTATTTCGGAACATTCCGTGCAATATCTTGTATTACATTTCATGCATCTCCTCTCTTTCTTATCATTCATAATTATGTAACCATTACATTTTTTGCACCTTTGGAATGAGAGTTTGTCAACATTAGACGACAAGGAATATTTCTTATTGATGCTTCCAAATATGTCTTCATATGTTACATTCTTTTTATCATTAAGGACTTGAACATTAAATTCTTCGTCTTCATACGAAGAAGATATGAGAATATTATCGAGTTCAGTTATTTTGGTCTCGTCAATATCTTTGCCGTAAATATTTTCCCTTATTAAATTATGAACGTCTGATATCTTCGCATTTTCGGCCGAATTTATCAAAATATTTTCTTTGAGAAGATCAATGAGTTGCTCGTTGAAATTATTTGTTTGTATTAGCTTTTGTATATTCAATATTGTAGCATTACATAATTCTTTCTGTTCTGGGGATGGTCCAATGAGACACACATTTAACAAACCCCGAAATATTTCCAAATCATTCAAGAATTTCATTTTCCTCACTTTATTCTTCGGTTTGTAAAGATCTCCTATCCTTTCGCAAATATATGTGTAATATTTATATTTAATATCATTATTGTAATTATAATCAAAAGGATTCACGATTCGAAGATCATTTTCATTTGTTAATTTAAATGATTTAATCTTTCGTTTAACGATATATCCACCTTCAAAGGAATTGCTTTCATCAGATTGTGATATGGGTACTTCTCCGATGAAATCAAATTCGGATATGTCATCCTCCATTAATATATCCTTCTTTTTGGATTTGAAATTTTTCGAATCCAAGGAATCATTTTCCAATACGAATGTTTCACAATGACAACATCCATAATGGGCATTATCAAATTCCTCATTCTTTTTCAGATGAAAACGTTCATTAAGATACTCTTTCCTTGGGAGGCATAATGGTTCAATATTTTCGACAATTTGTTGCTTCTCGGTTTCTGATAAAACTTTCTCGAATATTTTTGGGTTGCGTTTGATATAATAACACTCCGGTCCATATGCATCTCTTTCGGAAACACATCTCCATTTTTTAGGTGTATACTTTTTAAGAATTACATTATTTGCGGTTTCGATTATTTTGAAGTATTTCTGTTTTTTCGTTGGAGTATTTTTCATCATCTCAATATTTTCATTGCTGAATATTTTATCGAAATACATTAAAATAATCGAATTAGTTGTTACATTCTTTTTGCCCTTAAGGATACTGATGTAATAACTCAAAAGTAATTGATAATTTGGGATACTCATTAATTTTTTCATCTGAAGTTTATTAATTTCAGAAAACGCTTTGTAAAATTTGACACATGATGAATTAATCATAACTATATCACGATACTTTTTCATCTGTGACTGAAGGAAGAATTTAGATTCTCCTCCGAATATCATGTATGAAACGAGTTTATTAAACTTTGTTTTACATGATGGACAAACACATTTCTTCGTATCATTGACTATATTGTAATTCATTATACATTTTTTACATGCTTTTTCATGACAAAATGGGCAAATGATTGTGATATCATCTTCCAAACATATCGGACACTCACTTTTATCGAATTGAATAAATTCCATTTTGTGAAGAAAAATAATCACTTAAAATTAGCGTGTTCACTTCTTTGATTGTTCAAGATCCAATATTTTTAGGAATAATATGTCGTTCATTTTTTCCAACTTCTTATTTTGTTCCTGCATCTCTTCCAATGTTGCTTTTAGCTTTTGAAATTCAATCATTACTGCGTCTGAAAATTCATCCAATTTATAGTTATTAGATTGTTTAAATCTCTTCGTTGTTCTGGATGAAATTTTAACCGCATTATCTACATCAAAGTCATCGAAACCATCCGGGAGCATGTTACCAGATATAACCGGTAAATTTTCAGTGGATTGAATGAATGAGTCTTCGAATTCACCATGAATTACTTCATGATAGTCGTCATGATCTATTCCCGATCCAGTTACCTTTCCGTTCATGGGAAGTCTGAATAATCTCAAAACACTGTAAACAGATGCGTCAATATAATGTTCATATTCAGGATTAAGGGTTTTAAATAACAACACGGACTTTTTCATATCATCAACACTCATTACGTAAGGAAGTATGATATAATAACTTAAACCCAAATGTTGTGTGGAATTTTTGTTGTATGTCAAACAATATCCATCTGTGGGTATTTTCATAAATGAAGAAAATTTGTTGACAATGTCGTAAATAACATTTGTCTTATCAAACGGAATATTTTCAACATCCATATATATTTTTCGTTTGGGTTGTGATAAAACTTCAAGGGAACATGTTTCACTATTCATTATATCCGGTAGTGCCGATTGAATATCATCATAGTTGATATAGTTTTGTGATTTGTTTTCTCGGTAACTTTCTTTCAAATGTACAATAGTGATTTTTACTTGACGGGAAGTCATTTCGAGCAGGAAAAAAATCATTTATTAATGTAGCATCATTAGTTATTCACTATGAAGTCATTATAAATATATTAACTATATTGGATTCATATTTTCACAATCACATAAGCATAAGCTATATGTATCATTAACATTAACCGGTAATGGATCGTACATACCACATCACATCAGTGATGACGCTGAATAATCCAGTCTTGGTTGGAAGAGTATTTTTAATGTATATAACCCATCTCCCATTAACAAACTTTCTTCATATCTATGAATACTCGTACCAATATTATTTCGTAATGTTGGGTTGTGACACACCCATTTCTGGGATTAGTTCCATTATAATGTACCCCAATATATAGTAAGAGTTTGTCCATTGGGATTAATTCCTTTTTTCATCTATTCGGGAAGATCTCTTTAAACATAGAAATATAAATGCATGTCAAATGGACTCCTGATTCAGACGGTATGAAAATATATTATAATATAAATTAGGATTATGTGGTTCAAATTCAACATCTTCAAATTTAATGTTGCCTGTGGAAATTTATTCAGTTGTTCGTAAAGTAGTATATATGACGGGTTGTGTGCAACAACATCAATTTCACGTAAGAAAAAAAATCACTCATGGGCAATGCATAATTTCATTATCATTATTGAATTCCACCTCATTACTGAATTTCAGTTCTTCGGCTATATTTTTAATTTTATGATACAACGCTAATTTTTTCGAACATAAAACTATTTGTCCTAATAATCCTGGTAAATCATTTTTATATTTTTCATATATATTTCTTTCTCCGTTAGTTTTAGCATTGTAACTAATGAAACAATTTGTTGATAACGTTTTATAAATTTTATTCATAACATCAACCGCCGATTGATATTTTTCTATATTTCGTTTCATATCTTCCAATATTCTATTTTTATTGACTAGATTTAATGAATTGGGACCGTTTAAATCCTTATAAACGGTATATAATAGATTTACATCGTTTGGTTGATGTGTTATGAATGACTTAATTTCTCTCTCGGCCCTGTTAAATTCAGTCATGACAGTTTTCCCGCAGTGGAAATATAGGGTGTCCAAAGGTGTGTTTAGCACAAACCTGAATACTGCGAATAGAAATAAACAAGTTACATATATATAAAGTTTATTTAAATATAATCACCATTGGATTCAATCACGCGTTCGCAGCGATCGATCCAGGCTTGAAAGACACGCTTTAAATCATCATGAGAAAATTTCTCAAATTGCTCTCTGACAAAATTTTCAAGATCATCTGGACTCGCGAATTCGCGTCCTTCAGCTCTCTTTTTTAGCGTGCCGAATAAATAAAAGTCAGAGGGTGCAATATCAGGTGAATAAATTGGGTTTGGAACAACTTTGACATTGTTTTCCAACAAGTAATTCATTACCTTATGACTTTTGTGAACTCTTGAATTATCAAAATGAATTGCAAACTTTTGTTTTTGTTGTTTGGATTTCTCAAACTCATCAGAATTGATAATTTGAGTAAGTACATTGTCAATTAGATACTGAGCATTCATCGTATTAGGTTTTTGAAGAATATCAATTGCGATGATGCCATTCACGCCCCAAAAAACCGACAACATCATCATTGGTGTGTCAATTTTTTTCTTCGGGAATGTTTGCGGATTTTCATCCTTCGGGATCCACATGATTTTGGCTTCTGTTGCATATTGAAACCAAGACTCGTCCCCTGTTACTAAAAAGCGAAACTTCTTGGATTGATACGCACCCAATATAGAGAGGAGCTCTTTCGAAGATTGGACTCTAGATTTTTTTTGAACTGAATTAAGGTTGTGCGGAACCCAACGTGTATACGCTAGTTTGTAGTTCAAATAATTGTGCAGATAATAACTGACTGTTGTACGTGGTATCTTTGTCATCTCCTCTATCCTTCTGAGTGATGCTCTTGGGTCTTCATCTAGCGCTTGAAGAATTGCTTTGATTTTTCTTTGATCCGGCGATTTTTTGTCAATTTTTATGATGGGCGCCTTTTTGTTCATGAAGTGATACATCCTAACATGATACGTTACAGTGGAATAGCTAGGAGCATCCATACCGAAGCATTTTACCAATGTCTCGTAGATTTTTTTACAGTCTTTGCATTTTTTTGCAAGAGCGAGGATGTTTTCTTTATGATTCATTAAAAAAATAAAAAAATCCCGCCAAAATTTCCCGCGAAACCGCCTCTTGTCTCAAAATTCATTTTATATCCCGGCATGGCGCCAAAATACAACATACTCATCATATACATATATTCATATTTTTTATTATATATTTATAATCAGCATATATCTCCATTAATAGTCTCATATAGAGCACTGTGCTAAACGCACCTTTGGACACCCTATATTTTTTAACATAATTTGTAGCAATTGTTTGCTGTAATTTTGTAATTAACTTATTAGCTTCCACTTGTGATATTGAACCTTCATCGATTTGTTTGATCTCTTCTGGGTAAAGATCACCAACAATGTATAACGCGGTTGATTTACACAAACATTCCAAATAATATTTGAAGTCTAGCAAACTAATTGCTTTTGCATTTAGCCAATCGTCATACGTAATATTAAGATTTTTCCCTATTAATTCATTTTTGAAATTTTCCTTGCTACATTCTAATTTTAAATTATCCATAATTTCATCAATAACATAGGACCTCAATGCTATATTTCCTGTGCCATTTTTGCCTACTAGTCTCTCATCTTCTGTCTTTGAATCCAATATAATGACATATGACATTCTCTCGCCTATTGCCGGGATGTACTTTTCTTTATGCTGGGACTCTAAACGCAAAACAATTGTTGATACTGCATTATGTTTTCCTTTTCTATAAGCCGAATTTTTGGCGAAATCTGTAATTTTAAATTCGATTGATGGTTTCTTATCAGTCTTGAAAGATGCAATATCAGAGTATGTCGTGACTATTTCACGAAATGTATCTATGATGTTTTCTATGATTAACTGCATTGGTTCATCTTTCTTAAATATAGACCATTTATTGTTCCCATTATAACTCATTAATCTTAAATCTTTCTGTAATATCATTATATGAAAGAAGTTGATAAATTTATATTGATCTCTTCTTGCTAAATCTACGCCGGTACATTTAACGTTAAAATCATGAACGTAATCCAAATAATTTACTCCTCGATGAAGTAGGAGATCGTTGTCCAGGCGTATATATTCGCCATTCGATTGTGGGAGAACCGTTTTCTTTGGTATCCAATATTTATTATATTCAGATTTAAGAATATTCGATTGGTCTTCATATGCATCAGGATTTGGTATTTTTGCTGATGGTGTGATGACACCGTCTTCACTCCATTTAATACCATAATATTTCTTCTTTCGGTTGAGATATCGGCATATAATGAATGAACCTTCAAATCCCAATCCAACAGGTTTCCTCTGAACTGTATCTTTTGCGAAATTTGCTAAAAGATTGTTGTGATCCAACATACAATGCATACACTGATCTATTATTTCTGGTGAGCATTTATATGGTTCGTTTTCATTTCCAGTGGTAAAGTAATTCATTATATATTCATTCATGTAATAATTTGAATCAGTATCTTGATACACAACTGTCGATTTCTTTATATTTACTTCTAATATGTCATCTGTGATGATATTATAATTGTCATCGAATATTCTTCCTAATACATGTCTCCTTCTATTAAAGAGTAAATTCTTATCCCCTGTAAATGGTTTTATACTCAGACATCCTATGGATTCTAGATTTCGTATTTCCTTTTCGTTTTGTTTGAGGAATTTAGAGTCGATGTAAAATGTTTCGGCTTCTAAATTATTCGTAAGAAATCCAATGAGTTGACGGGCTGCGAATGTTACGGCAGCAGCGATATCCGGATCGTAATGTGCAAAGTATTCATTGTTTGAGGCTCCGTATTCTGAGTTACAAACAACTTTAATGGCTAATTGTTTAGCGTTAAACCTAATGGATCCAATTTTATCACCTATGTGTTTTGCCTTTGCAAGATCATTTTTAACTGAAGATCTCTTCGCTCTAAAATCGGAAAGCATTTTTTCTTTAAGTGAATAATGAATCGTGGGTAATCCGTCATCTCCTTTCGGGGACTGGACAAAATATATTTTCTTCATGACTGTATTTGGTATTTGATCCATATTAACAGATTTTATGTCATTTGATTTAAATTCTGGATAAAGACGATGAAACTCTTGAATTAATTCGATTTGTTCGTCTCTGTCATCGGACATTCTATATTGATTGATTATTGATTTTAGTGTTTGTTTATCCAATTTATACTCACAATAAAATGACTCCACCACATAATCGTAATCCTTTCCATAAACAAGATTAATCTGTTCGGACATTTTATTGTGAGAGAAAAAAATAACTTCGAGAAGCGTTTATTTTTTCAATCGTTATTTGTAAATGACGTTTATTTCCGTCAAGTTCTATCATCGGTGGGTGTTGCAAAATTTCATTTATCCTATCGGTGACATTCTGTCCATCATAGATAGCTTGGGTAACAATACATCCGTCCGCTATTTTTCCGGTTATTGATGTACCAAATATTGAAGAGTTGTGGGATATTAAATCGAACGTAACAGGCTTTCGTACATATTAAATATTTATTCGTTTCTGTTTTATTAAAGAAACACCAATGGAGAGAGTCGATAACAATCCTACCGTAAAATTTAATATGTACGGTTATGTTATTATTTGATGATGTGCTATCGTGTGGTACTCCCAATAAAAACGTGGATGCTAGGTTGGAAGTATATTAAATTAAATGTAATAATTTCATTTGTTAATCCACTACTGGTAATTATTATACTATCATTACCAATGTTATTCCTAGTAATACATAATGGATCTGTTGTTTGATATGTCATACCGTTGTACTGTGCGATATTATCGTGATATATGCACATTCGATTTCCATTTTGTGAATATGCACATTCGATTTCCATTTTGTGAATATGCACAATTTAAAATCTTTACATCTCTAAATTGCATGAATTCGATAAATTTACCCATAGAGGGGCCAAATGATATTTCCGAAATTTTGTGTCGGGGGAAATGTTATATTTTTAATTGAATGATTACGCAAACTTAATTTGATATATAAAATTCACCACTAAAGACCATGATAACGAAGTGATTTTTACCAAATTTAGTCCAAACATCATTACTTGGCGTCACGTTATACACTAATGAAAAATTCATACAATCTAATGACACATATACCTCTCCGTTATTATTAATAATAATCCATTTATTGTTTCCATATGCACATGTTCTCCAGTTATACCCGGTCATGTATTCATTCCATGTTGAAAGATCTTTTGAAACTATTATACATGTGTTTAAACATACTATATAATATCCTCCACCGTAACATAACGATTCTGATGAAGAACCGGGAATAGTTCTTATAAGTGTCCAATTAGATCCATCTGTTGATCTATATAATTTTTGATATTCTATGGCTACAAATTCATTATTTGCAAATATAACTTTGCGGCATGATGTCGATGATGAATTAATATTTGAACTGGTAAATGTGTTCAAATCAGATGAATAAGATATACCACTCCAATCGTGAGTTCCGAATACCCACACACCATTACCATAAGCACATGCGTTCCATCTACTTCTATATCCGCTACTTGTCCAGGTATTCATATCAGTTGAAGAATAAATTTGAGTATAATCGCCACATATAACAAACGTTCCGTTTCCATACGCGACGTCTCTTATCCATTTATCTACCGGTGTACTTGCTTCACTCCAAGTAAGTCCGTCATCATTAGAAAAGTGTATTGCGGAACTGTTGTTTGATCCTACAACCCATTTACCTTTTCCATCTGTTCCAATACCAAACGGTTCAGATTTGGTGAACGAAAGTTTAGTGAATGAAAGATTTAATAAATCATAATCTTTCCAGTAAAGACCGTTTGATGTTGAAAATACAACTCTAAAACTATTTCCTTTATCAACAAAATTAACGTTATATATTTCCGCGTTTATACCCGTATCTATTTCTGCATATGTTTCTCCATAATCTTTACTTAAATATATTACTCCATTCATTCCTATTCCTGTTGCAATCACCACATTTCGAATAGCATTAATTCCTATGGAACCACCAGATAAACTAAATTGATTATTGTATGTCCAAGTTGTGCCAAAATCGTCAGAGTATGATAAATCACCCATAAATAATCGGTTGTTTTCATTAACCGCTATACCTTTAGTATCATCTCTTAACCTTGTTATATTTGTTTTTGATTCAATTCTATTCATTCCCTTTTCGCCGCTAGAATAATACAAATAATTTCCTAATATGTTACCATGAACCATGAAAGTCCAAGCACCGTTGTAAACCAGTAAGTTGATATTCTTTAAGTCGGTAGTCCACAATACTCCTCCATTATATGTTCCTAATATCGCTGCTTGTAAATATTGATTCCAGTAGCAGAATTTTAATGTACGATAGTTTGATGATGTATATGTTAATTCCCATGTTAAGCATGAGTCATAAGATACATATAAATGTAGCTCGGTTCCAATTACAAATACACGTTGATTGTTCATTTCAAAAGTATTAACAAAACTAACAAATTCTTGAGTAACTGGTATCTTTATCCATTTCGAATCGCCAAATGTTCGATAATAAAATCCATCGGAGAATACGGATACTAGTTCGGTGTATCCATCGCAACAATATGTGTTTGCATAAATTTCATTTGGATTCGAAATAGTTTTGTTAAATTCTAGTGTCATAGCATTGAAATCAATTGGGGGTGGAAATGTCAGTGTTTGGTCTTTGAATTCAACCGAAGCTAAATTATACGGAAATCCACTCGTTTCATATTGAAATTCATCTAAATTAGTTTTGTCGAACATAATTGAAGTTATTGAGGTTGCGTTAGTTAAACAATTTGAAGTCATTGAAGTTACTTTATATATAATACCGGATGTGTCTTCCACTCCACGTTTAATAGTTACGTCTGATACATATAAATCATCAAAAAAAAAAAAAAAAAAAAAAAAAAAAGGGAAGTGGGGCTTCCAGGGGCTGCGCCCCTTCTAGCCCTGAAGATGTTTAGTATAAATGAAGTTCTTATATACGGGTCTTCCAGGAGCTTTTCACAAATTATATATGTTTTCATGTTTTGTCACTTTTCTGTCACTTTTCAGGAAAAAACATTTTTATTATTATATATAAATGAATTTTACAAAACCACCGTTACCGTTCTTTGGAAATAAGAGTAGATGTAAAGATATTCTATTGAGAGAACTTAAGAAACTACCGAATGGTCTAACATTTGTAGATTTGTTCGGTGGAAGTTTCTATATATCCCATTTGTGCCATACAATATTCCCAGACTCAAAGATTATATGCAATGACTTCGACAACTATATGGACCGTCTCAACATATACCAGACACAAACAATATATTGAAAGAGTTAAAAGAAAAGATACCTATAGGTAAGATGGAACGTATACCATTAGATAACAAAAATATTGTGAGAGAGGTTTTGAAAAAAGCAGAATATATAGACTGGGATAGTATATCTGCTAGACTATTATATAGTGGTTCTATAAGAGTTCATGACATTGAAACACTTATGTCAAAAGTTTTATATCTCAACTATACAAATGTTTTCAAAGAGGACATAGAAAAATATATTGAGGGTATAGAGTTTGTGAGATGTCATTGGACAGAGTTGTATGAAAATATAAAAGACAAGGAAAATATTTTCTTTATAGTGGACCCGCCGTTCTATAACACATGGGATTTTCAATACCAAGTAGACTGGACTTTGAGAGACTCTTTAGAAACTTTAGACGTTATACATAACCATCCATGCTTTTACTTTACATCCGATAAAGTGGTTTGGAAACCGTTATGAGATGGTTAGAGGACATACATGACTATGAGTTTATATATGACAAGATAGAATATGAGAGAGTCCTATAAACCGGAGAAAGTGTCACAATAACGAAATTTTATTAGTAAGTAAATGTGGTTTGAAATCGGATTGTTAGTTTTAGGTTTTTTCCATTGTGTCATTTATTTATTTGACGTGGCAGAAAAGTACAGAGAATATGAAGATGAACCAATGCCTGCAAATGTTCAGTATATGTACTCGTAAGAGATATTTTTATCTATAAATTAATGGACGCACAGAACTTAGCGAATGCACAGCAACCTGGACAACCAAACCCAGAGAATATTCCAAATGAAGTTAGAATACAAACTGCAATGGCAAACTATGGTCAAGTGCCAACAGATGTACAAATGCAAACTGCCATGTCAAATGACGCTGCGTTAGGTTTGCCACCATGGTATGCAAATATGAGATGGAAAGAGTTTTTATACAAACCCTGAAGTGGGATATAAACAACTTTAGCAGATGACGCGAACACAGGAGTTGACCCAGAATATGTTTTCTACCAGAGGAGAAACAGAATGTATGAGCTCCAGTTAAAGAATGCTATGGAACTCAACAGGAAACGTAAGAGACTAGGCGGACATTAGATTTTTACATATAGTAAATGGGTTTCTTCAGTAAGATAGGAAACTTCTTTCGAAATGTTGGAGGTATATGGAATGGAATAAAAACCGTAGGAAGAGGAATTTGGAACGGTGTCAAAAATATTGGTAAAAGGGTAGGTCAGTTTTGTTGGTATTATACCTAAAGACCCTGAACCAGAAGAGCAAGCTCCTGTTATACAACAGCCTGAACCTGCACCACAGTCTAGTTGGCAACCAAATCCAACACCTCAACCGTATTAAAAATTATATTTTTACCGTTCGATAGTAGTTGTATATGAAACTAAGTTCTAAGTAAAACGCATGGTATAATGGAATTATTCTTTTTCTTCCATCTGTAGTAAACCTAACTTGAAAGTCTGAAATACTTCCACTTGGTGGTTCGTATAACTTTGTAGGTTTTTCGTAAAAGTCATTTGCCAAGCATAAGAAAGAGTTTTGGGCGCCAGAAAATGAAGCATGAACAATAATAGCAGCTGGGTCGAAAACATCTTTAAATAAATATGGTTCATCTCTTGCATATCGACTGTAAATATTTGCTAAAGGAAGTTCGACTTTCTGATTTAACATTCTTTGCAAATAATACCATGACATTGCAGTGAATTCTGTATATATTTGTTCGTCTTTCTTTGGATTGTCTTCGTAGATTTGAAATGACACTTGTGAATTTTGTTTGTCATATACAATTCTCACATAAAGTGTGCTCTCGGTATTTGCATATTCATCAGCATATTTTGCATAACATGAATTTATTTTATCTTCTATATTTTTTAACGCAGTCTGTAGAGAAGATGAAAGGTCAACTTGTATTAGCTCAATTTCTTCCCACATTTTTCGTTTCCCTTCAGATATATAATCTATATGAAACCTTACAATAAATGGAAAACTTTTATCTTCTACAGACACAAACTTCATTCTACGAAAGCCAATAGCTTTTGTGACAGATGGGTTCTTAACCATCTTAATGGGTAGTCAAAACGATAGCCTTCATGCTTTACGGTCTCTGTCTCAAACTTTTGACCGACATTAGTAAAAAGTTCATCTAATGGTTTAGTTTGTAGCAACTCTTGAATTTTCTTTTTCTATTGGAAGCATATTTTATCTAGAATAAAAATGTCAAATGAAACAGCGTCTATGAGAGAAATACAACACAACCGACAACTCATTATGCAAGCTCTAAATAAGAACACAACAAACTTTTCAAACTATTCTAAGATATCTGAGTCATTGAAAGAAGGAAACTTAAAACTGACATTAAACCCAATGACAGATGAGTTTCTATTTCAAGACAATAAGAACCATACTGTCTGTATAAATCCAACAAAAGGAACTTTAAACGAGAAACCTATAAATGAACTTCTTTTGAAAGCAGATGTTGACAACAAAGCTGACAAAGAATATGTAGACGATGCAATAGCAAAAGAAGAAGAAAGAGCTAACAATGCTTATGCAACAAAAGAACATACTCATCCTGAACTAGCAGACAAAACATATGTTGACAATAAAATGTCAAGTGAAGTGACAAGAGCTGAAAACGAATATTCTAAAAAGACTCATACACATTCTATATCTGAAATAACAGACTTACAAGAAACCTTAAACAGGAAAAGTGACGTTGGACATACACATTCTATATCTGAAATAACAGACTTACAAGAAACCTTAAACAGGAAAAGTGCCGTTGGACATACACATACCATTGCAAATATTGCAAACTTACAAGAAACCTTAAACAGGAAAAGTGACGTTGGACATACACATACCATTGCAAATATTGCAAACTTACAAGAAACCTTAAACAGGAAAAGTGACGTTGGACATACACATACATCTTCTGAAATAACAGACTTAAACGTTAGCCTTGAAAATAAAGCAGATAAAACATATGTCAATGAAATACCAAAGTTTAGTTGGAACAAAAAATATTGAAACTATTGTTGGTGACTTTTCTGTCAATGAAGAAAACAAATATTTTAGATGGCAGTTGGTACAGTCCTTAGAAAATGGTACACGGTATAAACTCATTCCGAAAAATAACAATGAAATGTATGTAAGCTATAAAAAGAACGATGGTACACAAGTTAAAGTTCCATTAGACAACAACTGCTACTTAAACTTATATGGAGACGAAACAAAAGAAATATTTAAGAGTTTATGAAATGGCAGATATGACATTGCCTGACCCAGCTCCAGCACCATACTATTATGACTATGGAGATGACAACAGAACACACATGTAGATGAACAAAAGCTAACATTATATTTAGATTTTTATAGATATAAAAGATATAATGCAATAGAAAAAACGAGAATAGTATACTATTATGAAGATGACAGAAATAAATATTATAGTCAAGATTTTACCTACCCTGAAAACATAAGATTATATTATAAAAAATATTCTGACTTAAACCAGAAGAAACCTGAAATAGTTGCACTATATTTTAAGTTCAAAAGAGACAATCCTATAATATCTCATATGTTTGATTTAATGAACCCAGTAGGTTCTATTTATACATCTATGGAAGCAAGAGGTCCTCAAGTAATGTTTGGTGTTGGTGCATGGGAACAAATAGTCGACAGGTTTTTGTATTGTGCAAACTCTTCAAAGGAAACAGGTGGAAGTAAAACGATTTCAGGTGAAAACTTACCTGCGCACAGTCACTACATAGATTTAAGTACATCTCAAGCAGGTTGGCATAAGCATAGATATTGGGATTGGACAGGAATGACAAAAGGTAAAGGATATGATGTTAAAGACGACGTTAAGTTTGCTATAAATTGTTACTGGAGTGACACTCAGGGAGAAGGAAACCATACACATTTCGTTTCAGGATATACGCAAACAACGGGACAAAGTAAAGAATATATGCCACCTTACATGACAGTTTACGCATGGTATAGAATTGCTTAGTCGTCATTTTCAACTTCTTTAGCATATTCGTCAGGAGTTGTCTTATATTTGTTAGGAACTGTCTTTGAAAGTATACCACCTTGAACTTTGACAAGTTTGAAACGAGGTCTGACAATAGTAGTTTTATCTTCTGCTTGCAGTGTGTACATTTTGCCATGTTTGCCTAAAACTTCATAATATTCTCTTGTATACTTTCTTCTATTTTTACGAACACGAATGCGAGTACCTGTCGAGTTCCCATTGTTGTCATAGTCAATAGTATTTTCATATGGGTCGCGTTTAGGTATTTCTATTTTTACTTTGTCACCTTTCTGAAGTTTGAAGCCCGGCATTCTTTCTTGTTTGTCTCTTTTGACTAAACTATTAAATATATAGTCTTTCTCTAAGTCGGGGTTTGTTTTCATTTCTTCGGGGGAGTGGTTTCCCAAACCTTTTTGTTTACGGTTATTGTAAATATTTAAAACTTGTCTCATCTT